TGATGCCCGTGAACTCTGACCCGGAATAGAATAGGTAAATCGATCATATCGAGGCCTCTGAAACTGTGGAGGAGCACTAGCTACAGGTGGCGCCGAACTCCTCGAAGACCGGGTCCTAATGCTACCCCTAAAGTCATCAGAATACCCTACAAATATTGCCCTCTTATGCTGGCCCCTATCTTGCTCCCTATCAGCCCTCTGCTGGTGCTTACGATCCTCTAGGGTCTGGGCATAAGCCTGAATATGGGAAATATCCATGCCCTCCACCAAGGAGGCTGTCATACACTCATTTATCAAATGTGGTCCCAACCCGTTGACGAACAGATGCACCCTATCACTCATCTCGGCCACCATATGGGGAGTATACCTTGCCAAAGAATCAAACTGCATACTATACTCTCGCACACTCATATTACCTTGTCGAAGGTTCAAGAACTTATCAGCTCTAGCTTGTCGTATCTCAACTGGCAAGTAGTGACGAAGAAAGGCCTTAGAAAATTCCTTCCACATAGCTGGAGGAGCGTTCGGACCCATGGATCTCTCTCAACTATCATACCAGAAAACCACTAAATACCGTAACTGATAAGAAGCCAACTCTACTGCCTCCATATCACTAGCATGCATAACCCGCAGTGTACGATGAACCTGGTCAATAAAAGTCTGCGGGTCCTCCTTGGGGTCTGATCCGGTAAACACTGGAGGATCTAAATTAATAAAATCACGAACTCTCGTACTAACTGGTTTATCAGTAGCACCTGTATTCTGCCTCTGAGCCTGAGCAACTACCAAGCTAGTTAACAACTGCAAAGCACTCTGCATATCCTGGTCTGTAGTGCCAGATGGAGGAATTAGAGGTGCTGAGTGCCTCCTAATATCCTCTGGAGGAGACGGAGTAGATGAGGTATGAGAGGGCATCTCACTCTGAGCCTCACTTTGTCCTGCTCTGGCTTGGGGCACCTGACTGGTACCCTTTCCTGCTGCTGTATCAAGCCATCTACTAATCGTTTGCTTCCTAGTCGAAGGCATCACTGAAAGAAAACAAGATGAATATTAGAGACGAACAATTACGACTCAACTTGACACACGATCTAGATTAAGGAAGAAGGTAACAACCCTAGATATCATTTAGCCTTCTGATTATAAATGTGGCGCGCTACACATCTATAATCAAGACTCTACAAGACACGGCTCATAGACAACCCCTAGGACACACTTGCGCTGATACAAGGTTTGTCACGACCCAAACTGGAGGGCTATGACTAGCACCCAGCAATACTTGCCGAGCACCAACGTACATTTTATCTAACCTTCTTTATTATCTCTTAGGGTCGACGAGATCAATATAATTGGTAGACATGGATCATGGACAACTAACAACAAAAGATGATGACATGAACATGCATAACATGGGATGACCAGACAATCAAGAAACTATATATAAGGTACGAGCTACCACGTTACCATGAAAGACTATACAACAAAAATCAACCGACAAAGCATACCAAACTATACAGGTGTCGACACCTGCCTATGAGCCTCTAAAGGAACATAAATGCTGCAACATTGCCGGAATAGGGCCCCGACATACCCATAATGTCTATAACAAAAATGCATACCAAGACCATGACAAGTCTGAAGAAGGGATCTCTCCATTCACCGCTGAATTAGACCGCCTACTGTGGTGGGGGAGCTGCGCCTGGCTGTCTATCAGGACCTGCAGCACGACATGTAGTGTCCACAAATAAAAGGATGTCAGTACGAATAAAGTACTGAGTATGTAAGGCAGGGAACCATAAGTACGAACAGTAATGTAAGCAGGGATAGAGAATATACAACCTGTAACATCTGGGTACCTCTGAGGGCTACTGACATGCAATGCATGATACATATGTATATATGCATAAACTTTTAAATCATACGCCTCTGTGGGCATGATCATGATCATATCATACCCGACCGTAATAGGCTCGATAAAAACGTACCCGGCCATCATAAAGCTCGGCAGAATCGTACCCAGCCACATGGAGCTCGATAAAACCCAACTGATCAGGGGTTGCACAATAGGTGTCGTACCCGACAGACTATAGTGCAACTCGGTAGATTAAAATAAATACATAAATAATACTGCATGCTCGACTCATGGAATCGCGTTCTAAACTTTTCAGAGTGACGTAAGGTCGGTATCCTCTGTACACGTTAATATGACTAACTCTTCACTATGAACCTTATAAGAATTAGGAAGTACCAACAACATTGATGATACAATAATAAGAGAAGCAACATCAACATTAATCGTTCCATAAGAGGGGAAATAATGTAAGTACTACTAGCTTCTAAGAGTAGAGTATCTTTGGAAGTTCGTTCATTACATTATGTATAATCGGAGTCATGCAAAAGAAGGAAAGTGATAGCCTCACATACCTTGTATATACTGCCCAACTTCAAACTATGCAAATGTCAAGACTCCTTAGTCTACAATAGGAGAAATGACACTATCGTTAATGTTTAAGCGTCGTAACTATTATGTACTGACCATAACCTATTTTATGATGAAACGGACAACACCTCTCCTATTTATATGACTTCCACCAGTGAAACAATCACCAAACAGCCGAAACAACTTCAATGTTAATCATATTGAACCTCCCAAAACAGTCCACCAACCGATAACATTACTACCAAGCCTTTCGATATATATTCCACAAGTTCTAGCTTCAATGACTTAGATGCAACTTGGATAATCTTAAATACGTATAGAGTAAGAGGTTCCTTACATTTATACAGAAGGAACAACTCCAATTTGACCTTAATTTTCCATGAAATATCCTTTCAATGCTGCCACAACAACAACAAAGCGAAACTAGCAATCAATTAGTGTTTTTCGGCACAAAAATCACTTTAGAAGGCTTGAAATCTCATAGGGTTGATATTAAGAACTTGAGGGAGTATTTACAGAACATAAACCTTTTAAAACAACCTCCCACACGAGCTGGAACAACACAAAAATGAGCAATAACAAGAAGAAAAAGAAACTTACTAGCGCCATGAGATTCCCGACACTTGATTTGTGTTGTTTGTCCTTTGTTTGGTTCTTGAATCTTGAGAGAACCTTGAGAGGGTGTTCCTAGGGTTTTAAGGTCTGAATATCCTGAAAAAAATGACTAAAACGGGTTGGAGGCATCATATATATACCCAAATGTCTTAAACCGCCTAAGTGGGCCCCATAGAGAGATACTTGGCGCAGTCTCACAAAAATGCGAATATCTCTCTACTCCGAGATTGTATCGATGAACAGTTTAATGAGTTGGAAACTAGACTCATAGATCTTCAATTTGGTGGGTAGATTACCCCATAATTCTAAGTAAATTGGGAGAAAAGCTTAGTAACATTTGACCTAATGTTTAAGTAAAATTATGAACCTAAGTTGTGACAACATTTGTCGACTTTTATCTCATAACTCGTTTGACTTCAAGACATATAATACGGATATTATATAATTCAAATACCTTAAAACACTACCTCTTGAGTGTATTAAGCACCTCTAGGTTTATCCGAAAATACGGCTGACAACATCATTGATTCGTTTAACTTCTAATACTTGTTAACCACCCTTATACACCTTTGTATCATTTAAGACCAATAGGATTAAATTCTTATCATCTCAAAGATAATCTCTTCATGGGTTTACGTTGACTACCTTATGGCATGAGCTAACATACGTGAATATGGGTTGTAACTATCCCTTCAGATTTGCTTCTTGTTTTTTATGCTAAAGAAAAAGGCTTTAATTTGATGGATTCACAATTATCATCTGGTGTTTCATTTCAAGAAATTAATGGCAACCCTTTTCTCTATAGTCATCAAAACATTAGGTTAATTATATTTTATTTTGATTTTTTTTTAGCTAGGTGATGCGGCTAGCGGATCCATTACTCCCATGGATGGAAGAAGATCATGTTGTGGAAGTAATCCTAACGACAACCATTGAAGTTGCCTGCAAATGTATCTTACTCAATTGAATCGTCATAGGAGATCTTTTGTCCATAATAATTAGAGTAGATGTTCTGTTTAAAGTTAGTTTTAAAACTAACTATAATACTTATGTTTTGTGTTTAGTGGATGGAGTAATTGTGTTTAAAGCAAGTTTTTGAGACTAATGATAATTTACTTTAATGTATTTTATAATTTATTAATATATTGATGTTACTTGATTCTATATAATCTGATGATGCTTCATTATATTAACATAGTTGAAATCAAATTATTTATGAGTATAACCGTTGCCCAAAATAAAAAATCAATGAATAGCGGAGGTTATAACTTCCGCAATTTAATGTAAACTAATATTGTGTTTAAATTTGTGGGGGTTAAATAAAACTATTGTGGGGGTTTTCACTGCTGCAATATTTTTTAAACGTGTGTTCATCAAAGTCAAACTAACAAACTGTGGAGGTTAAACTGCCGCTATATGATAACGGCGGTCTCCCATAAAACCCCCACAAATTGATTGCGGCGAACGTTATTGCAGGGGTTTTGAAAATCGTCGTCACAGAAAATTACGGAGGTTTCTGACCCTCGCAATATGTAAATAAAACCTCCGCAAATTTAGTGTTTTTTTGTAGTGCCTGGATTAGTCTTAATTCCGCTCAAGCTCACAGGCCCAAAAAATTACGCACTGTGGAGTAGGGCGATTAAATTGGCACTCCGGGGAAAAAGCAAGCTTGGATTTGTGGATGGATCATGTGTAAAGGTATGTATAAAGGTGCATTAGCAGAGCAATGGGAAAAATGTAATGCAATGCAATTGTCCTATCGTGGATTGGTAGCACTATTTCAAATAAGTTGATGCCTAGTATTGTCTATGCATTGAATGCAAAAAATGTATGGGCTAACTTCCAGGAAAGGTTTTATAGGTCAAATTTAACAAGGATATATCATCTTTGGACTGCTATTGCAACCTTAAGACAAGGAACAGACTCGGTCACTAGCTATTATTCGAAGATGAAGGACCTATTGGATGAACTGGATGTCATAGCCCATTTGGCTTCATGTGACTGCGAGGAGTCTAGGCCTTCAGTGGAACTTCTGAAAAACATTTGTTTATTACAGTTTCTCATGGGATTGAACGAGAGATATGGTAACATTCAAAGTAATGTCTTGGCAAAAAGGCCTGTAATTACAGTGAATGATGCCTATGCAATAGTTACACAAGAAGAAAGTCAAAGAACTCTAGGAGTCACAGATACATTGAAAGATCCTCTTACAATGCTGGCCGGTAAAGGTTATGAGTATAAGCCTAAAAGGATAGGATTAATCTGTGATCACTGTGGTTACAAAGGCCAACTAAAGGAAAACTGCTACAAGATAGTGGGATATCCACCAGATTTCAAAAGCAAGAAGAAAGAGCAAAACTCAAGAGGCAAAACTTATGTGAACAGTGCAACTAGTGAAGAGAAGCAAGTGCCAATGCTCCCCACACAAGGAAATTTCTTCACTGAGAAGCAATACAAACAACTGGTAAATTTATTGCAGAAGACTACCACAGATGAGTGTTCCACTAATACTGCAGGTATCTTTACTTTAATGTCAAATGCAGGTGTTAGTGATCAAGTTTGGATAGTGGATTCAGGTGTTACTCACCATGTGACACATTGTAAGAATTCCTTAAATAACCTTAGAAAAGCATATCATAGAGCAGATGGAGTACAGTTGCCTACAGGCAGTAGAACAGAAATTAAACATACAAGAGATGTAGTAGTTTTAGGGAATAAAACTATTGAGGGAGTACTATATGTGCCAGACTTCAAATTCAACCTATTGTCAGTGTCTAAGCTAACTAGGCAATTATGTTGCTCAGTTGGACTCTATACTGATTTTTGTATATTTCAGGGTCTCTACAATGACAAGGTGATGGGGAATGGTAGAGAAAATAATGGGTTGTACCTAATAACAGAAAATTTTCCAACAGCAGTAATCAGTTTCTTGAAGGAACATGGAGAAACAACACTATGGCATCTGAGGCTTGGTCATGCATCAACCAAGGCAATGCAGCATATTTCAGAACTGAAGAATAAGAAACAGACAGGAAGAGAAAACAACTGTGAAGTATGTCCCTTAGCAAGACAGTGTCGATTACAATTTCCAACTAGTAGCACTAGATCAAGTAGTTGTTTTCAACTCGTACACATGGATGTTTGGGGACCTCACAAGGTACCTATATATGACAGAAAGCTTTATTTTGTCACAATAGTATATGATTACAACAGGTTTACTTGAGTATGCTTAATATAGTTTAAATGTGAAGTAGTTACTGTGATTAAAAACTTTCTTGCAATGATAAAGACTCAATTTGAAGCTGCTGTAAAGATTGATAGATCATATAATAATACAGAGTTTTTCAACTCTCAATGCAATACTTTATTTGCTTCTCTGGGAATTATACACCAAAGTAGTTGTCCATACACCCCACAACAAAATAGGGTGGTTGAACGAAAGCATAGGCATATACTGGAGGTTGCAAGAGCCTTGAAATTTCAAAGCTCAATCCCTAAGAGATTTTGGGGTGACTATATGAGAACAACAATGTATTTGATAAATAAGATGCCTACTAGTGTCTTGCAAGGAAAATCTCCTTATGAGTTGTTGTTGGAAAGCCAGCTAAAATAAAACACTTAAGGGTGTTTGGTTGCTTATGTTATGCAAGTAACTTACCTAAAGGTAATAAGTTTACAGCTAGAGCTAAGAAGGCTGTTCTCATTGGATACTCAAAAACATAAAAGGGTTATAGGTTGTATGATTTAGAGAATAGAAATATTTTGTTAGCAGAGATGCGATCTTTAAGGAGCAGAGCTTTCCTTTTGAGAAAGATGCTGATTCAGATTGTACAGAGGATTTATTTGCTTCACAACCTCCAGTTGTGGAAGAAACTAAACATCAACCACAAGCTCCTATAATTACAACTCCACCTCAGAACATACAAGTGCCAGCTAATGCAAATGGCACAATAGAGGTGGAGACTAATGATATGGACTTGGTCACAGACCATGCAGAATGTAGTGATAATCATGAAACTTCAGATAATCTGGATTCAGCCACAGTTCATGCAGAGTCTGATATGCACCATGAGATCCCAGCAGATGCTTCAGCAAACGAGAATCCCTTTCCTATCATCTTGGAACCAGAAGTTGAGACAAGCATAGAAGAAGCAGGATCAGAAGATGTACACTCACATCCACCATCTATAGAGGGACAGCCTAGGAAATCTAATCGACAAGAAAAGGGAAGACCTCCTGTATGGCTTAAGGACTACATCACTAAGGCCAAGACACATATAAATACTGCACACTCTATATCTAATGTCCTCTCATATGATCATATATCTCCTACCTACCAGTCATTCCTCAATGTTTTTTCAGTTTTAACTGAGCCACAATCCTTCAAGGAAGCTGCACATGATCCAAGGTGGATACAAGCCATGGATCAAGAAATTAGGGCACTTGAAGAAAACCATACCTGGGAAGTGGTTGATTTACCAGAAGGAAAGAAACCTATTGGTTCTAAATGGATGTTTAGGATCAAGTATAAGTCATATGGTGAGATTGATAAGTTTAAGGCACGATTGGTAGATAAAGGATACACACAACAAGAAGGGTTAGATATCATGAGACTTTTTCACCAATTGCCAAAATGGTAACTGTGAGAACTATCTTAAGCATAGCAGTCTCAAAGGGATGGATCCTCTATTAAATGGATGTCAATAATGCATTCCTCCAAGGGGACCTTTATGAAGAAGTTTACATGGTTTTGCCACAGGGTTTCAAACGACAGGGGGAGAACAAAGTCTGCAGATTGTTGAAGTCACTCTATGGGCTGAAACTAATGTTGTATGGTAGGCCGGGCTGGGACTGGGACCGGACCGGGCCCGCGGTCTTTACGGGCTAAACGGGCCTGGCGGGCCGGTCCTGGTGTGCCGGTCCTTAATGGTGCAAAAAGCCCGNCAAACTTTATATATTTACACTTTTTCCCAATTCTCAATTATAAATAACCCCTCATTCTTTCATTTTTACTCACCAATTCATCAATCTCTCTCAATCTCTCTACTATAATTGCTTATTTTATTGTTGAAATTTTATGAAAAATTGTGAAGTTGGTGAATTAAAGTATTCAAGTCTTCAACGATTTTCAATTTTCAAGAAGTTGTTTGGCAATTCGGTAAACTCGTTTCAACTCTTAAGTTTTAAGAATATATTTTTGTGTGTTTTAGTTTGCATAATTGTAATTAATATGACATCTTTGATAAAAATGTTTGGTGGTAAGGGAAAAGCTAAAACTGGTGAAAGTAGTGGCCAACCTACTACCCTTCCCCCGGCTCCCCGACC